CTAAATACTTATTTGAAAAAATATTAGTTTTGATTGTAGACACCACTGCATCAACGTTATTTTAAAATAGTGAAAACGGCTTTATGAGCGCTGCTTGGTTACTTTCACGTGATCAAAGAGTCGAGTGATTGCAACCCACCACTTTATTACGATAAATAGATCGACTAAAATAGTTTAAACTCACCTAGGACAAGCTGATGTGTGATATAATGTCGTAATTACATCTAATATAGGACTTTTAATATTCAAAATGCTTTTACTCTAACTTTTTTCAAGTTTTTGGCTATTCTACTATCTACGATATTTATAGCATTCATAGCTGAGAGAAGTGCGCCCAAATCGCGTCGAGTAAATGTGCACAAATCATTTATGCGGCATATTAAAAATCTTCACTCCACCAACAGCTGAAATAGAAACAGATTAGCCATGTTGTAAAAGTAGCTAATGCTATGGGCCCTATGCGTTTGGGGGTTCCGCATTATTGCGGGAACCGTGTAATTAGGAACCTTGCTACGGTCTGACAGACTGTCTGACATGAGATTCGAACCTATGATCTTTCGCAATCCGGGCGACAGCTCTAATCACTGAGTTAACCAAGACCTGTTGGGTCTTGGACTGACGAATTTTTCAAACATTTGTTACTTTTTTGCTACTACAGAGCATATTTTCATCAATGATCAAGCAATCCATCCAAACAGCCGACATAAATATTTTAAATTTCGATAAAGATGAAAATTTATTTAATCAATTTCGAAGTCACAATGCTATTGTGGAAAATATTCTTATAATAATGATAATTGGAACTGAAACTGATGAGTATCGCATATAAAAAGGTTTCCAAAGTTGAACAAATCTTGGGATCCACCTCTTAGCTGTCTTGGAGAACCAGAGGACATAGATATAAGTGGGTATACAGAAGCGTGTCCCCTATTAAGGCCCAGGGGACATTCAAGTATTACGTAACGCCATTTGGGGGGAGGGGGGTCTCGTAAAACGTTTTTCTTTTTAACAAAAAACAGGGAATTAAAACTCCCAAATTGGCAACTCTTTTCATTTACGTTTTACGGGGAATCCTTCGATTCTATAGTTAGGTCGTCATTTTTAATTTGTTCTCGCAAGCTGATAAACCTTTTCGTTTATATTTCACGGGGTATCCCTAGATTGTATTGTACGGCATTTAATGTTGTTTTCGTTGTCAGTATTCGAAAAAAGCATTGCTGTAGTCGGTCTTATTAAAGTGAGTTCATAGAGTTCATACTTAATGTCCTCAAAAGAGTGAGATTTGTATTATCAGCTGTTCTTGGCCTACAAAGGCGCTCATGCTGACTTGCCAGCGCAACTGTGTCAAAAAAATGCCACTGCAATTTGGAAAACGGCTAAAGAAAAACTAAAAAATAATGAAGAGTTAAAAGAACTTATAAATGATATTATACGAGAGTTGAAGGTGAAGACAACGAAGAAAAAAAAGCTAAAAATTTATAAAAAATAAACAAATACGCAGGTGTTGCGGATTAAAAATCTCTTGTTTTTTTTAGTAGATATTATAACCGCAAAGGCAATTGAAAGTATACCAAGGATAAAAACTATAACATATTTTTTTGCGATTTTAAGGTAAAAATGGTCAGTTGAGTAACGTAACGTTTAGATCCCCTATCTAGAGGGAAGGTACAGAAAAATGTTACGGTGCGTTACAAGGGGAGGTGGGACGGTGGGTGGTAAAAATCTTCAAATATTGCGTTACGTAATACTTGAACGCTCTCCCACTCAATAGTCGTTAGACCCACTCGTGACCCATAATTTGGGAAATACTTAACAAATAACTAAACAAATACTAAACCAATTTTTCATCCTAAAATTCGGCAGATCGATGATCCCTTTACACCTAATACAGATAGCATACTTTTGAGTAATAAAATCAATCAATGTGAATAATTTTGCATAGGTAAACTCGAAATTACGTATGTCATTTCAATGTTCGCAATTTACAGTGTCAGTCAGGACTATTTTTTTGCGTTGCTCATCATAAAAACCCATTTACTGAGTACTTGTCAAGTGAAAAAGTAAATTGTTATCATCATCATCTTATTCGTCCGCGTCACAGATAGGATCACCACAATTTTTGGTCGCCAACTTTTGGAAAACAAAATTCGGGACATTCGGATTGTCATCATAAGAAACCGGATTTATGTTGATCACCATTTTCAACAAATACATACAGTTCGTATAGTGGAAAGCTGTCACATTAACAATAAGCCTCTGAATAAATATTCCCTTTTGAAAGCAATTAGCATAAACCATAGGTCATTCTCATACGTAAAGTGTTCGTTAAATTATTTTTTTAAGGATAGAGTGACGCACGATCTTGTCGCACATCATCTCGCTGATATCTTGAAGTTAACTTCTTTAAGTGAATGGCATTGGGTTCCTCCCATTTTAAATGTGGCTGATGACGCAACTTGTATAAATTCGGAATCCACTCTAGTTAACAGTCGTTGGATCATAGGTCCAGAATTCATAAAATCCCCTTGCAGCGACTGGCCAGCTGAAGTCTGTCGCTCCGATATTGATACCACCGAACCGAAACCAAGCGCTAAAGTTTGTTTACATTCATATCTCATTGATGTAAATAGCTCCTGCTCTTTTATTCTTAAGTCTGTTCCCGCGGACGCAACCCGCTTTAGCCAATGGCTTCGTTTGGTTCGCTCTACTGCCCGCGTGCATAGCGCTGTCAAAATTTTACGGCGTTTGGGAAGAGCAGTTAGAGTAAGCGCTTCTACATCTCACACTCCTCTACAAACTTCTTCATCAGCCGCCCAGCTTTTCCCATTATCCGTAGAAGATTTACGTACCGCACAAACTCATATCTTACTTCGGGCTCAGGAATAATCATTCTCGGAAGAGTTGGCAGCACTACGTCTTGGCGAATCTTTGCCACGGTCAAGTAGACTTTCGAAGATTGACGTAAAACTTACCCTGTCTAGTCGCATAGGAGTCATCACGAATACTGTGGACGTTTGCAATAAATAAATAAAATAAATAAAGCACATTACATAAATTGGCAGAATCGATGGGAGAATCACTGATGAATCATTAAATTTTTAACGAATACATTTATAAAATTGTGTATAAAATCTACACTTATATTCCGGATGTTGGAGGCCTGGTGACCTGTAAAACGGGTTTTATACTCAAGTGCAGGCACCAGTCTCCACGATAAATTCTGATGTCCTTGATACGCTCTGCACTTTTGTACATTTTTTGATATTGTGGAGAAAAAATAAAGAAATATTATTATTTTTATTAACTCTATTGTTCCGTGAAACTTCTAATACAACATTTTTATCAACGTTTCGCTCACGCCAATAACGAAACAATAGTGAACGAGCTCCGACAGAAGTTTTGCATTCTCAGCCTCAGAAACGCCGTAAAATCCGTTGCGCAAGACTGTCAGTTGTGCAAAATTTAACGAGCTCAACCTCTGAATCCTCCGCTGGGAAATCTTCCGGAAGCTCGCCTGGGTCATCATCGCCGCCCCTTTACTTTTGTACGCTTAGATTACTTCGGACCCATCCTGGTAACCGTCGGAAGACGGCACAAGAAGCGCTACGTCGCCTTGTTCATCTGTCTCACGACTCGTGCTGTACATTTGGAAGTAGTCCACGATTTATCCACGGATGCGGCTTTGATGGCGTTGCGCCGATTCGTGTCTCAACGCGGGATTCCAAGCCAGATATGGTCAGAGAACGGGACTGCCTTCGTTGGGGCGACTAAGTTCCTACGCCAGCTATATGGACCAGAGATTGAAGAAAGTGCCACAAACCTTTACATCGAGTGGCGTTTTATATCCCCTTCAGCACCGTTCATGGGTGGAGCATGTGAGCGACTAGTGCGCTCTGTCAAAACCGCACTAAAGGTGACGTTACTACAAAGAGCCCCCAAAGAACCTGTTCTCGTCACACTTTCGGCAGAGGCCGAACCAGGCCACTAACGCATGTTTCTTCCCAACTCGAAGAACCGGAAGCACTTACTCCTTTCCATTTTTTGATAGGAATGTCATCTATTGCCAATAATTATGCAGCGTCTGTTCCACAAGATCTCTACGGGCGTACGTTATGGCGAAAGGCGGTGAGACTATCGGATATATTTTGGCAACGTTGGGTAGGGGAATACCTCGCCACCTTAGTACCGCGACGCGGCTCCAGCAAAGAAGGCCCCCCTCTTGCTTTTGCTTTTAATTATTATCTTTAATATATTATTTCCTTGACTTTGAGCCCTTTCTTTTCTTCTAACTCCTATCACTACAACCTATCTGTTATAGATATTTTATGTCACATTATTTTTTATACGTTATAAATTCCGGACAAGACATGTTTAGTTAATGAAATGAAAAATTCTGCTTAAATGAAATCGATTTTTTGGGACATCAAATCGGGTCGCGGGACCATTATTGAAAACAATAATTGTCCTGTAAAATTCGGGACGGGTGGCAACTCTGGTCACAGAGGGTACTCTGATATATATTCATTAAGTTACATTACACAATAGGAAAATCAGCGTCTAAATAAATATATAGCAGGTCAGCGCGCAGCACAGCTTAGAGTTGTCAACCACACTGTACTCTCTAGCCATATGATATATGCCATATGTTATGGCGATATTTCATCTTATTTTGCTACTTCTACGAGCCTTTTAGGTGAATAAACGACTGAATTGGTAACACTGCTACCAAATCCATAATCATTCTTTATCATTCGTACGTCGTTATTAAAATACTTCCAGGAAAGCTCCTAGCTCCAAAAATTTTCTTCTATACACAATTCCAGAAATATATACTAACTGAAATCATTGGTTTTACCAAAGGGAAATCCTTTTGGTAAAACCAGATTTTCATGAACCAGATTATTTGTTATGAAATGAATGATAATATTCATTTCAAAAATATTATTTAATGCCAGTAATATAGAAATAGACCTAAAATTTATGAGAGTAAAACACGTAAAAATAGTAAAATCCTTTATTAAAATAATAAATAAAGATGCAAGAGTGAATACGCAAGAATACTTGAGCAGGTTTGCATACAGCGGCGAACCGCTTTAAAGCCACTGCACACGCCACGCTTGCACAACATTTAAAGCATGGATACGGCGATACAATACATTAATAATCTGATTTGTGAATAGACCCAGATACTGTGCCTATTCAACACAAAAATATCAAATCCCATTACAATTCCAGAAAATTATAACAATGGATTAAAATTTTGAACTTAAAAAAATAATTAAGACAGATAGAAAATATCAATAACACAAAGCTTACTGCCGTGTTAAGGTAAACTTCTTTTAAAAATTCATAAAAAAGTATACAATAAGTGCTTTTATGTCTTATAAAACATTAAGGGGAATTGTACACGATTAGGTGAAATGGACATGAATAATATTGTTTTCACAACACCATTCGTTCACTTTTTTCTTAACACAGCAGTACAAATTCTTTTGTGGGATAAATATATATTTTTTCATCATGACATTTTAAATCTTTATTTGGTAACATTTTTCAGATATCCGATTAGTATAAATTATCGATAGATCGTGAAATTAGAAATCTTATATATAGACAAAAGAGGTGAAAAACATTATTAAAAAATTCTAAATGTAAATAAATAGCTCTTATTTCTTTTAATATAAGAAAATGAGTTTCATAATTACAATCAGTTCAGATTCAGGCTCAAAATATAAAAATGCAGAAGTATTTTATTCATTTTGTTCAATTTGATCTATTGTATAAATATTAACGATTTACTAGATATGAAAATAAAGTATAAAAATACTTGAGCTCAGTGCGGGAAGAAAATGAATATACACATAGTTAGCGAATCACATGGCCGTACAGACTCGGTAACATGACTTATAAATAATTACTTAAAATCAGCAACTTCGTAACAAAATTTTATTTACAAATTATCCGCCAACCTCCAAGGATACCTAATTACATGATTTATTTAACGGCTACATCCATTTATAGTAAAAAATATACACACAAAATGCCCATCTCACTTCAACTAACAAAACGACTATTACTGTGAATCGACAAACATAATTTGAAATTATAATTACTGAAAAACAGGAACACTCGCCTAAATGACATTCAGATCTAAAATGCCAGATACGACAATTTGTATCATCAGTTTTTACAATAATTTGTACTTAAATACGTCGAGGCATCCGGATCTTCTTCGAGTAGATATCTAATGTAAAGGCAAACTCGACATTTTTCCTCTTTAAAGTAATAATACATTAAATAGAGGGAGCCGTAATAGACAGCGTCGGGACGATCTTATGTCCGCGGACACAGAGGAAACTAGTGTTCCGCGTATAATGCAGGTTAAGGCACGCCTCTGTTAAAGCGTCCATAGACACTAGTAGACCGCAGCACGGTGAAATATAGCCTGATGTAGTACAACTCGAGGCAACAAGTGTACTCTAAAGCTTTAAAACCGTGGGTCGGTCAAAATTTGCCCGAGCATTTCACGATATGCCGCCATTTCTTGACTCGACCAGGAAAATCACTATCGGCCAGGTTAAAAGTTTGGCAGATCGACGGGAGCAACGTATTTGATGATTTACCCGATTTTTATTGTTTAAATAAATAATTGTTAATTATGACTTTATTTTATTTACGCACATACAGAGATGGGATAAAACCGTGATTGTAGCCCAACTCTGCTTACATAGTATTTTGGTCACCCTACCAAATCGACTGGCCTGAGTATAGTCGAGTAAATCGTCAAAACTTAATCATTGAACCATATGGCGGACGATAGATGGCCAAATCAAGATACGGCGGTATATCGTAAGTTAGAGCAGGATAGATGACTGGAGTGTCCACGTCATAACGATTGTCGATTTTCAGAGTACAGGACCGGTGCAAATCGATGCAGTGCAGACCGTCGCAGTTGAGAGACGGGTTAAAGCTAGAGTGATGTTAGGGCGGGTCCCCTATGATAGCGGCCGTTTGCGTACGAACGCGTCCGCTGCGGAGGACGCGTATGAGCTCGGCACCTCCGAGCCGGCGTCCTGTTTGTATCCGTGCTTGCCGTTCAGCGAGCTGCTATCGTCCATCACCGCCTGTGAATGCAACGAGTATTGTTCAATCGAATCGCCAATACCGAGGTTTCTCAAAATTAAAGGGCAGGGTAGTTCGCAACAAGTTTTACGTAATGGTACATAGGTTCTATACGAAAGTACTGATTACGCAAATAGGAATAAGCAATGTCTATTTGTTTATTTTATCTACGGTTCTATATTGTAACTTCTTTCATATTAACTTCAGGGTGGAGTTTGACGTTTGAAGTTCACACGTCAAGTGAAATGATATCTCTATCTTCTGTTAAAAATGGTATGATTCCGCTTGACTTTTTCAAAGCTTGTAAAATAAAATGTTATATATGCACTGACTATAGAGGGCACTAATTATACTATCTAAAACGAAAATGTCAAAGTAATTTTTTTTTTCAAGTTCATACACTTGTAAAATGTACTTCTTTTTCGTCCAACTATTTTTTTTTTACATTACGTTACGTAATAAAAATATAAAATCGTACAAGTAAGTACGAGATTTATGATTCAAACTACATTTGCGGTAATGTTACCATTATATATGGAAAAAAAACCACAACACATTACAATTTTTCATTTAGGTATTTTTATGGAGACAGTAGTTTTAAAACATGTAAGACAATGAAGTTATGTAATATATTAATTATGCTCGGTTAATATTATACAACATTTAACGTTAGGTTTCCAAGGTTTTATTTACATAGTATCTTTGTAAAATAAAAAGTTTATTAAATTACTCTTTTATAGTTAGGTATATTTCCGTGGCAACCTATATAACATCACTGAGGTGATAAATGTAACAATATATAATTTTAATTATAAATTATTGTAAAGAAAATTTGATTTGTTCCGATATTGTTTGATTTTTATGCTTTTGCTTGTTCGTAATGGTACTACGATTTATAAAAAAAAATACAGAAGACTTTATTTTTTTGTAAAACGGGATTAAATTTTGTCAAATAAGATTTTATAATGAAACGTACACAAATATCAAAGTAAATAAATTTTTAAAGGTCACAGTGATGAAGAATGCTGTTGTGATGATTTTCACAGAGAAACAAATAACATTGCTCAAGTAAACTGTAAAAGTCGACTGAGGAGGCGAGAGATTATAGGAATTTATTAAAAACTAGTTGTGCCTGCGTCTTCGTCCGCATGGAAAGTAGCCTAAGCTAATCTGTCAGTGAAAGTCCCACCAAAATCGGTCCAGCCGTGTGTACCATACATACATAATGTATTAAATAAAGTAGTTATTTTAATATTACAAACAGACACTCCCATTTTATTTATATGTATAGATAAATAAATTATATAAATTGTTATGGAAATGATCTAAAAGTGGTATCAAAAATCTTTAACTCACCATACAAAGTCCATTCGCGAACTTAGCTTTCCTCTCAGAATTATTGTTTTTGTAGCGCGCTTTGTAAAAGTCGCTGAACAGGAACAGGAAGAGGAATCCATGCATTGCGATCCAGAAGACGAACACGCGCGGGTACTGGCACGACGGCCGGAACAATACCTGCAGCTGGTGACTGAATATCAGCACGAACTGCACCTACAAATAGAGGTAGATGACTTTTTAAATATCGCACGTTGAGAATGACACTAACCAAAAACGACGTATTTTTTACTTATGGTAACATTTTTTTTTGTTAAGTATAACCTTTAAAATGCAAAGATCCCTGTGAACGTAGCTTGCATAGAAACTGCTAGGTGGCGTAGTGACGATACGTTGTTTAGAGGTGCTGATTAAAATTTCTTGAACTTTAAACGCTCATTACTCAAAATTGCATTTTTTGCATTGTGTCACTATATTTATATTTTATAGATATATATGAAATATAATCTAAAAAAAAAATTAATTTGCAAAATTTCACGCGAAAATGCAAACTTCTGTCATGGTCTCGTTATGACGTCACAGCCTTGTGAAACTATGTGTGAATAAGATTTAACTCTCCAAGTTCTGACATGAGTAAGAAGGGTGTGATGTCACGCGCTGTTTGCAGTGATATGACAATGAGTATACATTTTCTTTTTTAATTAATTTAAGCAATATTAAAATATAATAAATATATCAAATACTTATAATACCGGGTATTAGACGCGATTTCACACTGACCTGCGCCGTCTAATACCCGGTATTATAAGTATTTAATAATGCAGCGCGACAGTTTAAAAGTGAATATAAGTATATCGTTAATAGTATATTAGACACTATCAGAAAAAAATTATATGTATTTATTTTCGTTTACTGTCGACCATAAAATGTCGTTTATGTCGATATTATATGCCCAATACAATAGACGTATTAAATGCCCTTTGCGTTGGCCATATAAGCATAATTTTCATTTCATACTGAGGCCGCCGATAGATTTCCTAATCTCTGTCAAATACTGATGACTAGTGGGCAAAAGTTAACATTGATATTATTTTTTAACCGAATCGGTACAATTTAATACCAGATCAGATAACTTGATGATTTCTTTCGTTCGGCATCGTTTCCGTGTGTCTTTTCAGGCTTGATTTTTACACCGCCACTATCTTTCAAATCAACTCTCTATCTTATCGCTTCATTTTTAATGCAGTCTGCGAGTTATAATCTACAAATTTAACGTGACGAAGGCATTTCGACTGAATTTATTCTACTTATGTGCCCAACCCAACTTTCGCTACCATACTTCAGAGTTCCTAACACACCATTTAAACTGATCCCAGCACCCACTCCATATCTATGTCAACGGTGTAACTTCCATTCTCGCTAAAAGCAAATCTAAGGTAAACAAATTCATTCACTAGATCCAACCGTCATCAACTACATCCACTACATCATCAATCCTAATCCCAACATTTGTTCTGGTATTGTCTCTTTTAAATATCATTGTCTTCTTCGCATCCAATTGTAAGTCCTTCATCATATAATAATCTTTCATTACTATTAGATCAGATTTTTTTTCTGCATGCATCACGGCATCATCTGCATACAGCAGGCAGATAACAACTACATTACCCATTAGCAATTCCATGTCCATAGATCTTAATTTCTGGAGACATTCCATATTCTTCTTTCACTTAAACTTGTAAAAGTGAAACGAATTATACATGTAAATTGCCAGTAACATAGGCAATAATAGGCATAGAAATGATTGCTACTAGTTGTATATTTACGCGCGGGTTTGCGCGTGATTTATATACCTACTTTAGTAACACGAAACTTACCATCTGGAAGGCGGTGAGGTATTTCTTCCACCAAATATATTTCTGGTACTTAGGTCCCATCGCAGATATCATATAGTAGAAGTACATAACTATGTGGACAAAAGTATTCAACAGAGCGAAGAAAGTGCTATGACCACCTGTAACAATATTAATTTTTACATTTCACACTGACGTATTGATAAATTCTAAAATTGATAAATTTGTTCACCAATAATAGCTCGCTATTGTGATCTGAATTAAACTTGCTTGTATATTTTGTTTACAAATTTAAATATATATATATATATATATATTTGAAGTACATTGCATTAGTTATAGTCTACCCTGAAAACAGAGTCGCCGCGTGACGGAGTGTTTCTTCTATTAGGCCTTATTTATAAGCAGAGGTCGGAATTAGGTAGAGTTATTTATGTGCTTGCATCGAAATGTTGATATTAATGTGGACCTTCGTGGCAACATCGCGCGTATTGGTATTTTGCAACTTTGGACATCCGATGTCATTGATGTAAGTTTGGCAACGTCGTGCGTGCAGTAGTTTAAATTGTGTTAAAGTAAATAACTTTTTATTTAAAAAATCACGGGATTTTTTCTGCTTTTTAAAATTAATCTCGGGATTTGAGGCATATCCACTTTATTCTTTCGCTGTATGAAATCAGTGTAAGTACATGAATAACTCTACCTAATTCCGACCACTGTTTATAAGATAATATGAAACGAAACGAAGTTATTGACCGAATACCGCGATTTTGTTTTCGATAACATTTGAAGCAGACTATCATCATTATCATCATCATCAGCTCTTTTACGTCCCCACTGCAGGGGTTTAGGCCTTCCTTATGGATGGTTAAGGAGGATGGGCCATGACCCTCCACGCTGGCCCAATGCGGATTGGCAGGTATTAACGACTGCAAATGCAGCCGGGACCAACGGTTTAACGTGCCTTCTGAAGCACGAAGTAGCTTGAGATAATAATTTTTAGGTCACCCATCCCGTGCGAAAGATGCTTAACAACAACGATCGCGGGCCGCGGCGCTTCTTCTCTACGCCACCGAGCTACTTAACAGGCTATACGTAAAGAAATATATATTCTCTCATTAAATAATTTGTTCGATGACCATTTATTTAGTCGTGATAAAATAAAATTTTAATTATGTATAAAACATTAGAAGTGCGCTTCTAATATTTATGAGGAAAGAATTTAATTTCTCATCTAAGCAAGGTTATCAAATTTAATTTAAGCAACGATCAAGATCCTTTGTAACTTATTAACATAAAAATATTATTGAACGGTGCCAGTTTTTGGCCCGGCTCGTAACTCTGAGTTTCGTGTTAAGTGGCTTTAAAATAGCAAATGTGTCATTGATAGATGTATTAAATAATTTATCTATAAAAGATACATGACTAATAAAACAAATAATTTGTTTGATTTTTTTTTATTTTAGAACTATAATGATGTCTTTAAAATGATTTATTAAGGCAGGTAAAAGACCTGAACAAAGGTTCATCGTCTCGAAATCGTGTTAAAATAAATTAAGAGTCAGCGGCATAGGTCGCGCACGCGAACGCTAGACGGTCAACTGTAAAAGCCTCATTTACAAGCAGTCTATGAATATTCACCGAAAGCTAGTCAACTTAAAAGTTTAGTGTTTGATTAGAGTATGAAAATACATATATTTTGGCGTTTCTCGATGATATTTCAATATGAGATCAAAGGGACTTCTTGAAATAAAGTTCTATAGTTATTATAAGTATTAGTCGCTTTACAATACAATTAACAATGTAGCTAAAAGGACTACATTGTTAATTTTATCAGAAAAAATGAAGCGGCGAAATATAATTTTAATTATACACGTTTAATACATTTGTTTACTATCTTCTGATCAGAGAAATATACTGTTAAGTGCGGTTGAACGTAAAGGTTAAGTTCAAAGTAGATTATGGAATTTTGTCATTTTCCATAACCCAACAAACCTAATGCTATTCAAACAAGTTGATTTACGAATAACCTGTAAGTATAAACATGTAATATGTTTACGTTAGGTAAGCACTCACCAGGAGCAAATTTAAGCCCGAACCAGACTGACATGGGCATAATGCCGTGGTGTATCACGTGCAGAGTTGACACCTGCTCGTTCTTCTTACGCAGTACGAAGAACAGAGTGTCGAAGAACTCCGTAAACTTGCTGAAGTAGTACCACCAACACGTGTTCGCCATCTGTACCGAAACATGTTGACTTTTAAGTGAGGTTTACATTTAGACAGAGAATTATATGCTGTAGAGCTAAATGAACCGTGGCCTAAAGCGCCAGATCGCACAATTAGGCACAAGTCGCATGATAATATTTCTTTCAATTTGTTTAATTTTCTTCTACGTACTTAGACCAAACTGCCGAGTTTTTGAGCTGAGCTGAGGAGGAGCGTAATAGTAAATAAATTACTAAAAGACATCACGGACATGGAGTTATTCTAGAAGCATTCAATAGTTTTGTAAAATCAAATGATTTCAAGGTTTTCGATGTGAATTATTTAGGCATGACGTAAATCATTCTACCATGGTCAGTATTGAACTTTGAAATCAGCGGACGTGTATTCGATAATTATAATATGGTTCCGCACCCGGTCAAATAATTTGAAGGCTAAAAGATATAAACGAGATGTCAATGGCAAGGCGACGGTAATTTGTGTTCAAGCGTCATCAAATAAATGTGAATAAACAACCTACTGTTACGGCTAATACATATTTTTATAGATAATAAAGTCTTGTTGTAACGTAATAAGTAGATTACGTAAAAATCCAAGAATTAGAGAATAATGCGGTAAGTTATTGACAAACCTTCATCTCTTGGACAACTGGGTCATTGAAATTATTTCATTGTTATACAAAAGGCAGTTTGTGCTGTACAAACGGCAATCAACACACATTCTCGGGGTCGTGTGGAAAACTGCAAAGGTGGGTCAAAAACGGCGACACCAGATGTGCGGAAGTTACAACTCGGATGGATAACGCAAGATTTTACGACCTTGCTCCTTGATCAAAGACTAATGACTCCAATAGCAATTAACATATTTAATGCTCGAGATTACTGTTTGTGAGCATTAAAGGTGTTTTATTTATTCACAGAAAAACCTGTCGTATTTTACAAGAATTAAAAAATACCTGTGTATTTACATGGCCATATTCAGCACATAATAAAAAATCTACATTTGAATTTCGAGGTTCTTTTTAGTTTTATGTTCAGACTATTTTTTAAGTCCAGTAAACGATGTTTTATGAATGCGGAAATTCAAGTTAATACAATGTGTCGTGTAAGTAACAGGGCAGAGTAAATTCTTGCACTGGTTTATGTTACAATACTGGTCGGTGCTATAAATAAATTAATGTCTCGTTTGCCGGTTCTTCGAGAAGGACAACCGCAAATATTGATTATCCACTTACGATATTACTTTGCATGACAGGAATGTATGTTTCAGAACTATAAAAACAGTGACATCGCCACTTATAACAACTTATACAAAAGTCCTTACCATTAACCGTGCTGACAAAAACAGGCATGCGTCACATTATTTTATCTAAGCACTTATATTTATTCTTAAACATTTCTTAATATCTGGTTGAGTTTCAAAACGCTGTGAATGAAATTATTACTGCTATCCTGACTCAGAATGTACAAAATTTTATAATTATGTATATCAATTTAAGTAAAACAGATTTTTAGACAAATCTATTAGTTTCTTTACACTGGTACAACAAAAAAAAAATTACAGTGACGGGCTTTAATATCTTTATATTTTGAGTGGCTAGCTAAAAAGGTTAACAACCTCTGATTTACACACAGTAAATATTCTTGATTAATTTTTTTTTCTTGTTTATACCTACATATTTACAACTCAAATAATTGGGTTATTTCTACCCTCACTTGACTTACCCTCATCGCCATCGGGCTTCGCGAATAGTCTACGAGCTGGCATCTGAAGTTGTAATGACCCCACCAACCACTCATTAAATACTGCAAAGAAATTAACCAAGTATGTTTGTTACCAAGTTGGCAATGACGCCATCGCGAAAAGATTGACCACGTGTCCCATAAAAGTCCCATATAGGTCATGGAAATTAAAAATAGCAAATAGTAAGTTTTTATTAGTATAAATGGGGTATCATACATTATCGGGATGGTAATAACTGCGATGCACGCAACTCCCAAAGGACGTTGACTGCTATAATAAATGCTTTGTTCAAGTTGAAAGTATTGTATTTGTGTCTTATATTGAAATTAAATGACAAATTAGAAAAAACAAAAATAATATTCTTTATAAAATATACTAAGGAATCCACTAGCCCCAGTTAGAGCAGTCGCCTGGGTTGCGATAGGTCGAGGGTTCGAGTTCCATCTTTGAGTACCTGAGGCGAGTAGATTTTTTAAGAATTTTTCATTAAGAATACCTATTTTTCAATAAAGCATTGTGAATGCAATTATTGATTTGATTAAATATAATAATAAAAAAAATTGCAGTTGCTTAACGGGATTTCTATACCGCAAATTGGAAGTTCCCATAATACTCACTTCATAAAATATCCAGGCGCTGAATATTGTCTGTGCTAGGTTGTATACTATTAGAACACTTCTCAATTCGAACGGCTTGCGGTTCTCCATCAACCGTGGCCCTAGTACACGAGAAATGTACGCGTAAGTGACACATATAGCCAGGGTGGGCATCGGCGATGACATCATCGGCCAGTCTTGTACGCGGGGATCTAAATAAAAGAAGTTTATATTAATTAGCAACTATTAGAAAGTTTATATTAATTAGCTCTATTATAGCTATGATTAATTTAAAAATACATCCGTGTCAATATAACAAAGTTACTATTGGTTCGTATAATAATTTCAAAATAGTTATTTATTTCTATTTTAGTATTGAATGGTGTAACAAATTGTTACAGCGATTACTTAATTGTGCAAATAAGATTTTCGCAATATCATATGAATAGCTGTAGTTTGGTTTATAGTTTTATTTTGACCTTTTTTCGAATGATATAGTTGGCCGAATTGTATTATTTCAAATAATTTCAACATTCTCAATGATGTTGTTCATTTCTTTAGATATATCCGCCTATCTTTCATAATTATATGTTGATAACATTTCAATTTGTATTTGATTAAATTTGTGTGATTTGAATGCTCTTCATAAATTATATATAATATGTATGAATATTCAAAAGTATTTATCCCCATTTATTTGTTTTCTAATCGTTATTTGGAAAAATAATATCACTTTTTATTAATACATTTTAAGAACCATATCGTTAAATTAACGAGTTTCTTTAATCTGCATAAGTAGTTAGACTTTGACTTCAAGGTTCAGACACCGCAAAAGCCGCTATTTTCCTTATGATCAGCATAATATGAAGTGCTAATATTGAAGTCACTATATAAGTAGTAGTACTTGAAATGCACTCATAGCAACTTTTTTGTTTATTTTAGTTGATTAGCGAGTGTATAATAACATTTTAAGTACGCCAACGCCGCAACTGAGAAGGAAACTATTATAAAATTAAGCGGAAAAATATTGAGACTTTATTATTGTAATGGTATATAGGTACATTATTTCGTAATGAATATGTATTTATTTTTCTATCTTTATTACTTTTATTATACTTAATTTAATCATTGCAAACTATAATAATTATAGTTATTCATTCGAATGTTAACATGCGATAAGGAAGACCACGCATGTAATTATTATGCACAAATATGGTTTCTAGGTAGCTCGGTGGCGTAGTGGATAAGCGCCGCGGCCCGCGATCGTAGTCGTTAAGCAACTTTCGCAAGGGTCGGTCACGGGATGGGTGACAAAAAAATTATATTCTCGAGCTACTCCGTGCTTCGGAAGGCACGTTAAGCCGTTGGTCCCGGCTGCATTTGTAGTCGTTAATACCCTCCAATCCGCATTGGGCCAGCGTGGAGGGTCATGGCCCATCCTCCTTAACTATCCATAAGGAAGGCCTGAGCCCCTGCAGTGGGGACGTAAAAGGGCTGATGATGATGGTTTCTAGATTCCAACTGTGCTAAATGTAAGGATTTTTATTTTGACATACACTATAATAGAAAAAGAATATACGAGCAGATAAGATGAGCCAGTTTATGAATTATGTATCATTTTTTATTTGCATTCTTTCAAACAGCACACGTAAAGCAGAACAATGTCGTAATTGTTTTTTTTATATAAAGTGAACATTACACATAAAACTAGATTTTATTTTAGGACTCCGTTTAAATATATGATTTTCAAAACTATTCTATCACCAAATGTGTTAAAGGACCGCTCTTAGGCGGTAACACGGTTTTTACGGACATAATAAAGTCATTTCCAAGTTCGATGTTCTATGAACTTTCTATATAGTCTTGGGTCTGGGTTTTGTGTTGTATTTGATGTTTCAGATTTCCATAATTTAAACGCTTTAGCTACTTAATTTTGTGCAAAAGCAATGTAGTCTTACAGACGTTACTTATCTTTCTTGGACACTTTTATATCTGCTTTTAACACTCATTACATATTCTCTTATTTACCTACAATGTCAGTTAATTTAATGTCGTTAGATGGTTCCTGGTCATAGTTGAAATGCATTTTCATCTTAGATGATTCCTAAATATTGAGCGACCGCTTTGAGCAACTCCTAAGTTTAATGAAAACGGGCATTATACTTATTAATTTCAAACATTTGTGCTCAATATTAGACTTTTACTATAGGCTGATATTCTAATCATCATCATTAAAAAGAAACAGCAGAAATGAAACAATTGTAACTTTAATAAGGAAGGATTCGACAGCGTTATATTATTATCGGCATATAGGACCAAGACCACTTACCTCCCTTATTGTCCATGAGGTCCGTGTACCAGTTTAATATGGTGTCCATCTTTGGGTTGGTTTTATTTACAGGCTAATTAAATCTGTAACAACAGAAATTATTTCTATTATTTACCTTAAATAATTATTAGAGTATTAACAATGATTTTAATGACTACTAAGTAGCACTATTAAAGATCGACACATTGTTTCGATCTGATAAAATGTATAAACTACCATTTAGAATTATATTAGGAATCAAGCTTTTATTTAACTTGTCGGGTTAGTATTGGTAAATCTTGCAAGCTAAATTTGACAAACTTATGTTTTCGATCATCTTTTCGAGCAAATTTCGCAAGGGTCGGTCACGGGATGGGTGACCCAGAAATTATTATCTTGAGCTACTCCGTGCTTCGAAGCCACGTTAAGCCGTTGGTCCCGGCTGCATTTGCAGTCGTTAATACCCTCCAATCCGCATTGGGCCAGCGTGGAGGGTCATGGCCCATCCTCCTTAACCATCCATAAGGAAGGCCTGAGCACCTGCAGTGGGGACGTAAAAGGGCTGGTGATGTTTTCGATCATCAGTTCCAATTTTTATGATAATGGAACTGGAATGTGGCTATGGGAAGTTTGTAATTAAACAATGCAACCTTGTTAAGTTTGGCGTAGTTTAATATATTAATGCAAGATGAAGTCAATATCTCGTGAACAATAAAGAATAAAACAAAGATCAATGCAATGTTTTTGTTGAAAAACTAACGTCAATTAATATTCTTTAAATAAATATGGCATTGTATACAATTGACTACTATGTGAAGGAATCCAAACGAACACTTCCCTGTCTGGGTCATTATCTGTAACGATTGCAATGTTTTCTGTTTAAAGTAAGTGTGTGTTGTAAAGTAAGGAGTGTTAATCGACTATGAGTAACTGTAAAACCGCTTATTATCAAATGCGCATTTTAAAGTTTTTTACAGGTTTCTGGGGCTGCACAAAGTTTGTAATATGAACGTTTGCCCGTCTACAATGAACTATAAAAATGATTATACACTATAATGATTATATTCCCACATTTTATGAATTGGGATGTAAAACTTACGTACTTTTTTACATTCTAGACCAAATTCAGTTTTAATCCTGTTAAACTTTTTAAGGGTCCGTAGTCCGTCCGTCCGCGGTTTAACTCGAAAACTATTGGTACTAGAAAGTAGTAATTTGGCATTATTATCCACGTTAATTACGCCAAAAATGTGGTAAAGTAAAATTTCGAAAAGCATTTTTTAGGGGTACCTTCCCTACATGTAAGTGGGGATGATAATTTTTCCTCGTCTTCCCCAGAGCGTGGTTAGATAGGTTTTTCAAAAACATGGGGTGTGGGAAGGCCGTTATTCGATTTAGTAAACAATATGTGACTTATTAAGCATTAAAGAGAAAATTTTCGTCAGAGTCAAGTGTCCCATCCCTCTACCAACTAAACGGTCGTTGGTAAAAATTCAAACTTTACAGCACCTATATTTAACAAAACTACAAGATAAATAACACACTTAATGTTGGCTTTACAAGTTTACGAGTAATAGTCGACCAATTATATTAACCTGGAACCTTCGAACAACTCCACAGAAAACAACAAATGAGATTTTTTTTTACTTTTATTTTTAAATTAATACCTAAGATACGCATAACTACATATTATACCTGTTATAAGTAAGAGAACTAAAACAGATATACAAGGGCATAAGTAAAATTCTTAGCTACTACGTGACAACAGAATAACGTTAATATAAACAAAAATAAATTTGCTTTTAACCCCTATTAATTTGGCATATCGGATAGTCGATAGAAAAAAAATATGGATATAAGGATTCCGAAGCCAAGCCTTATAAAAAAATCAATATGATTTTGAAGTCGTGATTAAATACTCTTACAACTTCCTGTATATATTTTAAGGTCAACAATACGAAAGTGTGATATATTTGAAATAAGAAATAAACTAAAGGAGATAAAATGTAATTTGCAAGAGTAAAAGGCGTGTGTATATTATTAAAATTTAGAATAAGTAACGAAATCAAATGGATTAAAGTCCAATATAAAAGTTGAGGGGAATCAAATAATCATTAGTGAGTATAAGAATTAAACATATTTTATTAGAATTATTTTTTTGGGGTCTTTTTAGTTTTCCCCGCTATTCAAAAGGTAAAACCACTGGTTTATCAATTAACACAATATTAAAATAAAATTTAATTAGAAACAAGTACTTGCACATTGGAAGTAAATATTTTTTTTATTGTCAACTAATATTTAAACGTAAACAGGTTCTCGTGATTTATAATGTGACGTTACGTTAGGTATCATCTTTAACAATTTTTGACCTCAACAAATTCGACATGTTATTGATTGTATAATTAATGACCGGACCTTCGCGATATTTCCTTTATGGAAGGGGCAAGTGACATTACAATACTTCCTACAATCTTCAATTTACCTCCAAAAAGGAAAGTCGAGGTTATATATATATATACAGAGATAGTAAGAAAGGACATCACTTTACTTGTTTTATATTATAATACACCATTATTTTACTTGCTCTGTAATACACCATTACTCACACCCATAACTTATTTTAATAATCCAGACTAACATACGGTTGGAAGAAATTGCTTCTCAGTGATGAGGCCGCCATTGCACTTAAAATTTAATTCTGATCTTCTTTATGGTGTACAATAAAGTGTTCATTCATTCATTGTAGTTACTACACTTAGCTCAATTTCTTTACTAAGCCGTTAATTCTATAATAAGCATTTCTGGTTCCCTATTTATTTTTAATATTTAGACAGCAATTAATTTCATCATCAATTCCTATAAAAAGGTACTTTTAAATTTATCCATGTGTAAACAACATATCACGTTATTTTCTCTTACAATTAGTTTGATTCTATAGGGTGTAAAATAGCCTGATAATATCAGGACGTATCACACACATTAGAAGTTTTAAATAAGGTTATTAAGGTTGTCCACTGTGTAACAAAAACGTAGTATTGTTACACAGTAGTCATTACAAAATCAATACAAAATTAAGCTAACACGTCTCAATTTGACATTTTCCCTTCTGTCGTTATCAATTTGCTTTAGGCAGTCAATGGATCAAACCAAACAGTAATTTTAGTACTAGTTTTATTATAAGACATTGTCTCGAGTGAACATGTAAGAGTACCTATGCATCCGACTGCTAATTGAAAGCGGCACCAGTTTATAAGCCATTATCGGCATCTTCGCGCGTTGAATCGTGGCTCAGCTACTAAGGTCATGAAACGGTTGTGTCAAGTGCTGTCTTTCTTAATTTAGCACAGACTGTTTCCAAAATCGAGGTAAAATTGAGTTAGATAGTAAGACATTTACAGAAATGCCGAATTCAGATGCGATTTTATGCCCAAAGCTTTGATCGTATTATTTATAATCTGCATATGTCAATTCTGTAGCTCATTGTGCCCGGCCATGAGATAGATATGGGCAGAGGATAGTGTTTGTCCGGCAAAAACAGTTTTTATTATATTCACTATTAGCTTTTGATCGCGATTTTGCCCGCGAGGTCTTGTTTTAAGTCCAGAAATAAAAACTTTCATCCCCTAATTTACCACCTTAGGGGTCGAATTTAGTAGAACCCCGTTTTAGTTAGCACCTACGTTTTTCCAAAATTCTCAAAAATTTCAAAATTCTCTCTTAGTGCTCCTCTATACTCCCAAAGAAATCTTCATTCCAAATTTCTCTATATATATAGATTACGATTTTTGTAAAAGTGCTACATAATTACCTGGGCTAGAAAGTGACTAAAACATTTATCAATCTTCCTTATGAAAAAGGTTATAAGCAAAAAAAGAAATGGTGAAATATAGCGTTAGTGTATTACTCATTACTAATTATAGCATACTTTTGCATGAAACAAAGTTGTTGAAAGTTATTCGCACGTAGTTCTAGACTCCAAGGTATTCGCATTGTCTAAAACGGTTCAAAGTTCATTTATGTGATAGTCGTTATGTGGTCATCGGTACTTAAACAGGTATTTTTTATGGAGCAAGTTTTTGGGTGTTATTTCGGCGCGCCTACTTTGTTGGTTATAAATTATGTAATAAGTAGGTAAGTGTACTAAAAATCTTGAAACTTTTGTCAATAATATAACTAGGTACTGGTTTAGTAATCTATATTATGTAATAACATCGACAATTATTTAAATAAAATATCCGTATATAGGTAATTCAAAATAATAATAACGAAAAAAACGATATCACTGAATTTAACTAAAAAACCACGCGCAAAAGAAGCTTTTTTGAAAAAACTAATACCTTCGGATTTACAAATCAACTAAAGGGAATAGTGATTTTTAATTTGTACAGAGCAGGACATGCCAATTCCGAGGATGACCGAACGAACGATTAAAATAATGACTCTTGTTTCAAATACACATTAGATAATACAATAAGCTCATCACATCACACTCAGGTGGGCCATGAAAGTATAGTTATATCTTACTGTAAAATCTAATCGATATATTTTGATTTAAGACAAAGACGCGGCGCAGTCGCGTAAGATTTTTCAATATTAAATTTAGGATGCTTTTGCGAGTTTGTGATATTTATCGCGTTTTTACATTTTCTTCGACTATTTCGTTGTCACAGTCCATAGATTCATAACAAAACAAAAGATATGCGAACGCGGAGTAGGAAAACAAAAACCACGTGTAACCTATGTGATCTCAAATTATGAATATAAAGTTTATTTTACCAACATGAAATACGTAATTCTGCTGGACACAATAGCGGAAGCGCCTATCATGTTAGTACATTGCAGCACGCCGCGCTGTCCTTAAAAATTAACTGTTTGAAGATTTCGCATACAGAATGACTGATTAAAGAAGAGTTTCCGTCAGTTGCGTCACAAGAACGATACACAGTCAAGCCAATGAGAGAAAGGGGGGATACACAACACCAACCTACCTACCACGATTGCAATAATGTCCCGCGTATGCTCGAACGCCACACTAGACGAATCGCTGCTGTATGTACGTTTCCATTCCGAGCTCTCATCATTATCTAATCTTTGTTCTTGCATT